TCTTAATGAAGATGTTTACATGAAGCAGCCCCCTGGATTTGTGGATTCTCAACATCCTAGTTATCTCTGCAAGCTGGATAAGTCGCTTTATGGCCTCAAACAAGCCCCGCGTGCCTAGTTTTCTCGCCTTAGCTCCAAACTATTACAACTGAGTTTTACACCTTCAAAGGTTGATGTCTTTCTTTTCATTTTTAAGAAGATGAGCATTCAGATGTATATCCTCATCTATTGTTGATGACATTATTATCATTAGCTCATCTTCTACAGCTACTGAGAAACTTCTTACACAGCTTTGGGATGATTTTGTCGTCTTGAATCTTGGCATTTTGAGTTATTTTCTTGGGATTGAGGTTTGCCATACTTCCAATAGACTTGTTCTGACACAACATAAATACATTCAAGATTTATTGTCGAGAACCAATATGCTCATCTCCAATGGTGTGCTCACACCTATGCTTCCTAGTGAGAAATTGTTATTAGATGATGGTGAAAAGCTCTGGCCTGAGGATACTACTCGCTATTGGAGTGTCATTGGTGCTCTCCAATATTTGTCTCTACACGTCCTTATATATCCTTTTGTGTCAACAGAGTGTGTCAGTTCATGTCCTCCCCGACTTCTATACATTGGGCGGCGGTCAAATGAATTCTCCGTTATCTACATGACACTATTGATATGGGCTTGTGTCTTACAAAGTCCAACACTGATTTGCTAAGTGCCTTCTCGGATGCTGATTGGGTTGGGAATCCTGATGACCGTCGAAGCACTGGAGGCTATGCGATCTTCGTTGGTGGCAATCTTATCTCTTGAAGTTCAAGGAATCAATCGACAGTTTCTCATTCTAGTACGGAGGATGAATACAAGGCGGTTGCTAATGCCAATGCCGAATTAATCTAGATCCAAGTCCTCTTGCGTGAGCTCGGGATCTCGCAAGCGCGAGCACCTAGCCTGTGCTGTGACAACATTGGTGCCACCTATCTGTCCGCCAATCCAATCTTGCATCGACGAACGAAGCATGTTGAGGTTGATTATCACTTCGTTCATGAATGAGTATCGACTCGTTAGTTTGATGTGCAACTCATATCTTCCAAGGATCAGCTCGTCGATATGATGACAAAGCCACTACCAACTCCTTCTTTTAGCCGTTTTAGGCGCAATCTAAACTTACTAGTACATCGTACAGATTGAGGAGGTGTTAAACTTAGAATAGGTCATATCTATACATAGTAAGATAATCTACTAATTTAGTGGTTTGTTACCATGGATCAAAGGAGAATCTATGATTTACTGTTTGTTACCATGGATCAAATGTATGATTTCTTGGTTTGTTAGCATGGATCAAGGCCCACCATGTAATTATCGTTATACACATTTATAAATACATGAGATGGTGATGCATATACGTCAGAGTGCCATTCAACCTAACAAATATAACATATTTGGTAAATAAGTAGAATTTTTTTAAAATAATTTTTATGTGTTTATTAAATACGAAATAAGATAGTCTTAATCATGCCGTAAAAATTTCGGGGTGGATGACAAGATCCATATATGTTAGTTTAGATTTAACGAGGTTTTATTGTATATTTTAAGTTTTAGAGAATTATCTCTAAAATTATAAACATGAAAGTTACGACACTTCAATTAATTATAAGTTACTAAAATGTTTATTTTCAAGGTTATAAATATTCATTCTTGTAGTACGAAGTTGCATACTATGCTTCTTCACGAACTTTTTTTTATTTACATTTCTTGTGTTTAGATTTGCACGTTATAGTCATTCAAATAAACTTGATTAAACTATCTTGTAGGGTGATTCAAAACATGAGTTTAGAAGTGCATTTTTTTTTTTACTTTTGATCTTGATCATCAAGGTAATCTTGTAAGAGTTCAAGCTTACTGAATCTTGTAAGAGCTCAAGTTTACTGCTACTAGATATTGTCTGCTTTGGCCTGTTACATATCGCTGTCAGCCTCACAATTTTTAAAATACGTTTACTAGGGAGATGATTGTCCGTTTTGGCTTGTTACGTATCGTTGTCAACCTCACGGTTTTTAAAATTACTAAATCTTGTAAGAGCTCAAGCTTACCTGCTAGTAGATATTGTTCGCTTTGGCCTGTTACGTATCGTCGTCAGCCTCACGGTTTTTAAAATACGTTTACTAGGGAGAGGATTGTCCATTTTGGCTTGTTACGTATCGTTGTCAACCTCACGATTTTTAAAACATGTTTGATAGGAAGGGGTTCCCACACCCTTACAAGGAATGTTTCATTGCCCTCTTCAACTCATGTGGGATCTCACAATCCACCCTCTTGGGAGCCAGTGTTCACACTGACACACCGCTCAGTATCTAGCTCTGATATCATTTGTAACAGCCTGAGGCCAATGTTAGTTGATATTGTCTGCGTTTGTCCGTTACATATCTTCGTCAGCCTCATGATTTTTAAAACGCGTCTGTTAGGAAAATATTTCCACCTTTATAAAAAAAATGATTTGTTTCTCTCTCCCATCGATGTGTAACCTCACAGTAGTAAATTAAGTTTAGTCACCCTCACAGTTGTTTGCATCAATCTGTTCACACTTATCAATGATGTAACGACCCTAAATTTCTACTTACTCAGAGTCGCTACCAACGTCTCATGCTTTTCTAAAATGCAGAATATAACCTTTAAAAGAAAACATCATCTATAGTATAAATGTCGAAAACATTTAAAACATTTATAACTCTAGAAAACACAGTCATGGCCTTACGTGTTCAATGCGAATTATTGAAAATTTAAAGAAAATAAAAACAATACAAAATAATTTAAAACAATGAAATGCAAAACAACCTATTCTAACCTAAGACTAGGAATTTAAATATGAGTCTACCCCATGCACGTGTCATAGTATCTACTCGCGATGTTGCGGTCATTCGTATGTGGGCGCCTTGCCTTTACCTGAAAAAATGATGTCGCACACGACCTGAGTATTTCGAACAATATTCAGTACGTGACCCCACTATAGGGGCCATGCTAAACGCAATCACATGCAAATATGCTCTACGGGCCAATCTCTTTCTCATCTCATATTAGGGGTGGCCTCCAGTCTCAAACTACTATGGATGTTTATTACTTCCCTACATACGACCCACACGTGCAAATGTGAATCCCAGGGGGCTCGCACAACCCCTGGACTCTCTCTAGTCGAGCTAACTGTCTGTAGCGACGTCCGGACGTAAGATGACCCCTGGTGTCATGTTCCCCATGAACACCCTCATTATTATATTGTGCGCGTCGACACTCATCATCTCTAGATAAAATATCCCTATGCTTATGAACATACAACATGTATAAGGTCCCTCTAGTTCTCATCTTAACATCTCTTCTGACGCAACTCTAGTCTCATCTCTTTGTTACGCTTAGTAACACATGCTCGTTAGATATTTATATTAATATCATTCTCGTACTCTTAGTGTTGTGTCCTAAGTCGATCTATCGACTTGATACAATATGGCACTCATCATCATATAGTATGCTTAACATGGAAACATCAACATATTAAGGTGAATGTCATGCAAACACAACATATTCATCTTAACGTCATTAAGTGCATCAAGCATGTCAAGTACGTCATACATCATGAGATAAATCACATACATCATCATGCATCATAGCTCATACATCATAACTCATACATCATCATAGCTCATACATCGTCATGACTCATACAACATCATAGCTCATACAACATCATAGTTCATACATCATACATAACTAGCGTACAATATCATACGATGCAGGTCATACATCATAAACATAAATATCGCATGCATTATCTTACATCATCTCAAACAATCATAAATTGTAATTCAGACAATTTCTAACCTATCCTATAGTAAGACCATTTACTTGGTCGGCCTAAGCCGAAATTCTTCCTAATTAATTAACGTGAGATCTCTTTCCTATTGCATCGTTTGTCACTTTTTGCTAGTATTTCACATTTTAAAAAATACAATAATTAATTTTCAAAAATTTAAATTTAATCTATCAATTGTTTAAAAAGAAAAAGGAAAAAAAAAAAAAAAGAGATTGTTTTTTTTTTTAAAAAATAAAGAGGGTAAAAGGGTAAAGTCGTATTATAATGAGAGCCGTATCTTGTGGGAAAACACGAACGCCGGAAAAGCGAAAGATCGGCTGCGTGGGGCCCATCACTCAATAAAAATAGTAATAAAATAATAATAATAATAAAAAGGGAAAATTCTACCGCAGCCAATTCTTACCAATTTGAATGGATAAGTTTTTGTTGACTTTTGACCATCCAATCACATTATAAAGATATCAGATTTCCCATTTTACCCTCATCATTGTCAACATTCCTCTATGTCATCGCCTCCTCAAAATAGTAAAATTAGCTTGCCTACTTTATTTATTTATAAGTTAAAAAATTTATTAATTTAATTAAAATAAAAAATTTAATAGATATAAAATTGAAAATATAAAAATAATATATATCTAATTAAAATGGTAAAATACTAGCGGCTTAAATCCTTATTACATTGTTTTTATTTTAAGAATTAATTATATTTGGGGGAATATTGATAAGATTTGCATCATTATCCGTATTTAATTTCATGATTTTGACCCAAAGTCACAGGTGGGTGATTTTAGATTCTTTGCAGCAATAGTCAACAGGACAATTATAACCAATCAATTTAAATTATTATCCTTTATCTTTTTTTTTTTTTTATATATATAATTATTTTTTAAAAAATCATATTTATCCACTATATATATATATATATTTTTTTTTTCATTTTGATTTTAAATAATTTATTATCTCTTTCCAAAACAGATAAAAAAAAAAAACAACAATAATTAAAGCTAATATATTAATGAAAAAATATATATTTTTTTTTAATTTTTTAAAAAATTTTAGTTAGCGTTATAAATTATGAAATTGTAAGGTAAGGATGAAAAAAAAAATGGCGGATGCGAAGCTTGAAGGTAAGAGTGAGCTATGGAATCCCATAGCTTAAAATCCTTCTCTTCCTCGAATTTACGCTTTACCGATGCCTTCACAGAGCCCTACAATTTTTATTTACGTTTCTTACTTTTCATCCCTCCCTTCACACTTCAATTTCTTTTCTCTTCTCCGGAAGCTGTAAAATCCCTATAACTGATGCGCGAAATTTCGCCTTCACCGGAAATTTCTACCGCCGTCGTGAGCCGTGCCTCTGAGGAGGAGGCTGACCGGAATTGGGCCGGTAATCGGTGGCCGCGAGAGGAGACTATGGCGTTACTGAAGGTGCGGTCTAGAATGGACTCTGCGTTTAGGGATTCGAGCATTAAAGCTCCTCTTTGGGAAGAAGTATCCAGGTTAGTTCGGATTCGAAGATTTTCTATTTGTTGATTACTCTCTATTTGCTTGGAACTGTTTGGAATTTGGATTGGATTCTTACTTCTGTTTGGAATTTGGATTGAATTTGGATGCGAACTGTTCCAATTGTTGATCACTCTCTATTTGCTTGGAATTTGGATTGGATTCTTACTTTTGTTCATTGATTTTCCTGGAAAATTGTTTCGTTCTTCTGATTAACTTGTGATGTTCTATGCTCTTCTGGTTTGGAATCTGTTGTTCCCTAAATTGAATGTTCTGAATCGAAGCTATGGAGTTTTGAAACTGAATCTTATGTGATAAGGGCTGCTTGGATCCTTGCAAACTTTCACAAGTAAAACCAACTTAACGGATGAAAAACTCTTAGATCAAACTTGGAATTTATGATGGTCACTCTTAGATATCTCTTAGATACCAAGACGACTCGCTACAGAATTAGCTTGATCAAAATTGATCCAATGAATCGATTTAACATCAAACCTAAAGAAAGGTTTGGAAAAGAATAACGGTTTAAAGAAAACACAAGGTTTTTGTATTTATTGTCATTCCATTCTTTTCTTGATTTGATACTTAAATCTACTTTGCCTTACTTCTTATTATTGCTCCTTCGGGTACATGCCATTGATTAGTGGTTGGATTCATACCATTATGTTTGTTGGTTAGGAAATTAGCTGAGCTTGGGTATAATAGAAGTGCGAAGAAGTGCAAAGAGAAGTTTGAGAACATTTATAAGTATCACAAAAGGACTAAAGATGGCAGATCAGGCAAACAGAATGGAAAAAATTATAGGTATTTTGAGCAATTAGAAGCTCTAGATAATCATCCATTGCTTCCCTCTCAAGCTGATTCAAAGGAAGAAATCCCAAACAAAATTGTTCATAATGCAATTCCATGTTCCATAGTAAACCCGGATTCGAATTTCGTTGAAACTACCACCACTTTGATATCGATGTCGACCACATCTTGCTCGAGTAAGGAGTCGGGTGGGACGATGAGGAAGAAGAAGAAGAAGAGGAAGTTCGTGGAGTTTTTTGGGAGGTTAATGAAGGAGGTGATTGAAAAACAGGAGAAATTGCAAAAGAAGCTTGTGGAGGCTTTGGAGAAATGTGAAGAAGAGAGGTTAGCTAGGGAAGAAGAATGGAAGATGCAAGAATTAGCTCGCATCAAGAACGAGCGAGAGCGTTTTAATCACCAGAGATCCATTGCAGCTGCAAAGGATGCAGCTGTTCTTTCATTCTTGAAGGCGTTTTCGGAACAGGTCGGCACGGTGCAGTTTCCCGAAAGCTTGATTCTGATGGAGAATTTGACTGGCAGGGAAGATGATGGTAATGTTGACAGAAATACAAGTACTCGAGAGAACGGAAACGATGGTAATTCGAATCAGATTAGCTCGTCTCGATGGCCGAAAGACGAGATCGATGCTCTGATTCAGCTTAAGACTAGCCTGCAGATGAAGTACCAAGAAAATGGCCCTAAAGGTCCTCTTTGGGAGGAAATATCATTGGCCATGAAGAAACTTGGGTATGATAGAAATGCAAAGAGGTGTAAAGAGAAATGGGAGAACATCAACAAATACTTCAAGAAAGTAAAGGAAAGCAACAAAAAGCGACCCGAGGACTCGAAGACATGTTCGTATTTCCAGCAGCTCGACGCATTGTACAAACAGAAATCCAAGAAAGTCGTCGACAATCATCCGAATCACGAACTGAAACCCGAGGAACTATTGATGCACATGATGGGCAGCCAAGAAGAAAGCCACCAACCCGAATCAGCAACAGACGACGGCAAAGCTGAGAATGCGGATCAGAACCAAGAAGACGAAGACGATAACAATGACGAAGACGAATATTATTACATTGTAGCCGACAACAACAGCAATCAAGTGGAAGTAGGCAGCTGAAAAACAGATGAACAGCAAGATCAAATGGCTCAAATGGTCTCGCCTCTTGCATCGTGTTAAAAAGGTCAGATCCTTCAAATCTCTGTCTATATATATATATATATATGATTGTATATCTTTCTTTGTTTCTTGCATAGATGATGATACTTGTAAGCTAGAGAGAGATAGAATTGTTTATTGTGTGCAAAAGTTGAAAAGTGTTTGTTTGTCTCTGTATCAATAAACAAAAAACCTGCATTATTTTGCTGGTAAAATGCTGTAGTAGGCTGTTTAATGATAATGCAAAAGCTTCTATTCATCCTCCTTTTGTTTCTCCTCTTTTTGTTTGCTCTTTTAAGAGAGAATTTAGAATGGGAATGGTGCTAATTATAGTACTCGTGGGAAGGGAAAGGAGCTGAAAAGTAATAAAACCTTTTAACATTTTGCATCTCTCATGTGTTGGAAATGTAATCATTAAATATCACTAATCCAATGGGTTTAGTTGTTGATTGACATTGACCTTCTGCTATTCTTTACTAATTTGAAAAGGATATTATAAATTTACTCCAAAAAAGCTTTAGAGATTTAGTGAAGTTATTCTTTAGTTTGAAATTACGACATCTCACGTCGATTGAACTGGGGAACGAGTGCTAGCGAGGATGCTATACGCTAAAGAGGGGTGGTTTGTGAGATCCTACATTGATTGGAGAGGAGAACGAAACATTCTTTATAAGAGTGTAGAGACCTCTCCCTAGCAGACCGTTTTAAAAATCCTGAGGTGAACCTCAAAAGGGAAAGCTCAAATAGGACAGTATTTGCTAGTAGTGACCTTGGTTTGTTACAAATGGTATTAGAGCCAGATACTGGGCGATGTACCAGTGACGACATTGAGCCCCTAAAGGATGTGTACACTGGGCATTGAAGGGGATGGATCGTGAGTTTCCTCATTTATTGGAGAGGGGTTCGAAGCATTATTTATAAGGGTGCAGAAACATCTTTATAGCAGACACGTTTAAAAAAACTTTGAGGAAAAGCTTGAAAAGAAAAGTCCAAAAAAGACCGTATCTGCTAGCGGTGGACTTGAGACTGATTACAAAAATTGCTTCTTAACGAAAATTTTGAGGGCCAAAACCCAACTTTCTAAAGTGACTAGAATGAGTCATCACACAATGAATCTTAATGTGGCTTGGATCTTTGCTCTAAATAAATTCAAAGTTTCAATTTAGAACTCCCAAAGTTATGTGTACTCCTGAAATATTAGAACATCATGAATCCTTGACTTGAAACAAACTCACCTTGAGAGCTTGATTATCTAATGGATAGTGACTGCAATTGCTCAATCTCATATATACAACATTGGAATGAAATGGTACTCAAAATAATAGTAGATTATATTTGAATGTTGTGGATTGAGTGTCAAAATATTGATTGAAAGTTCATCACTAACTAGAGTTGTAATTGGAGCGAACGCTGCTGTTGTGCGGCTACTCTTATGCTAGGATGCCGCAATCTGTGGCTTGTGCTTATGGTCGAGGTATATTGTCGATGTTGAATTTGTGAGGAGCTATTGAGGTCATAGTCACGCAAGTGCTACTACGTGTAAGATAACATAATGGAATACAAGAAAACTTCTCCTTTCGGTGTTAAAAAAAGAAATGCAATTGTTTTACCCTAATTTAAGGGCTACAATTTAAATGCAATGTTGTCATCAGTACATGAGAGTCTTGCCTTTACGAAAAAAAATGTTAAACATGGTTTAACATGGTTGAGCATTTAAAAATATTCCATAAGTGACCCCATTGTTGGAGTTTGAACATGCAATCACATGTCATGATGGTTCACCTGCTTTTTGTGACTATTCATTGGACTCTACTTTCTTTTATGGGTAGTATTTCTCTACACATGGCTTACACATGCAAACATTAACCCACTAGGCGAGTTTGTACACGTACCTTCTAGGCTTGACTATAGGCTAGTACATGTTCATGTTGCTGGAAACCAACAAAAAGAAAGGAATGCATATCATATGATGGTATATGTATTCATATGAAACATACTAGAAAAGTATCTCGTGCTCGTGATATACAACATGTATTAGATCCTACATTTTTAAATCACGGTACATAGTTATGATGCATATGAGACTGTACTTTTTATGACATAACCTTCCTATGAGACACACATACATGTGCATGACTAACTATTCATTCTTGTCATACATGACTCGTCAAGTGTCAATAAGACATAATGTGAACCTGGTATCATATCATACATACATCAATATACCCGAAGTGCTTGCAACATAGAAAATTCATATCACATAACATATTACAATAAATAATTGGTAGGTGAGTCGCAAAGAAAGTGGTATTCATACAACATACAATTCATCCAAAAAAGACAATCTTCACCGTCATGAGCGGTTACATGATATATCATAATTTTAAAATATTATTAATGGATTCAAATTAAATTTATAATTAATAATAATGAACTACTAAGTAAATTAACTAAATATTCTATTGTAATAATTATTTTAAACATAAGTTCCTTTTTACTATTTGAAAGGATAATTTATTATAATTATATAAGATTTAAAAAATTATCTCATTTCAAGTACTATATTTAAATTTTAAAATATAATTTATAGGATTAATTATTGTACCAATTATTTTTTTTATTGGGAATAAAAAATGCTCATTTTCAAAAAATTAGATGATCAAGCGAACGGTGAAAGCATTCATAATGCAACAATAAAGTTTACGAAGAAATGAATAATTATGTATGTAAAAAATGGTGGCGATCATGAAGGAATTGAAAAAGACGATTCGAGAAATTGATGATAATGGAAGATCCGAAAAAATAATCTAAGTATTAATTAAAAGAAATTCTATAAATATTATTTAACCTTAAAATAAGCTAAGACTTAGCTGTATGAAATGGTCAAAATATAAATGGTTGGAAGCATGTCATTAGATTATGATCATTAAATGGAAGCATGAAGTTAGATTATTGAAATTAATGTATAGTATATATATATATTATATATATATATTTGTTGTGGAACTTAAGATGCATTATTAAATATAATGTGCATGGGATGTTTTGAATATTATTTTGGATTTAAAATAGTTATATGTTTGGTAATATATATTTTATTAGTTAATGTTAGTATATATGTTTCCAAGAATTTAATATTAGTTTTAAAATCTCTCTTTATTTATAATTTATAATCTCGAGAATATTCGTAATAACTTTATTCTTGTCTTGAAAAATATGTGAGTGAGAACAGAACGTGCTGAAACGACTCACGTTGGTCTTTCGTAACCGTTTTCACTCTCAAACTCTTTTTCCACATTGAGGTTTTTCTTGTATGAATAATTTTTATTATGTTTCGATTAAAAAGCTAAAGATTAATGGAATTTACGCGTTCTAAAATAGAATAGGTCGCCATTACGTGCGTGACATGTCTATTATGCTCAGAAAAATCACTTTAGAAATCAAGTAAACGGTGTCAGAGATTTAAACGTTCCTAATAAAAGCTTTAAAACAAAACAGCGAAAAATAAATAATATAAAATTTAAATAAAACAAAGAAAATAATAAAATAATGTAACTACCTTAACATTGGTCCCATCACCTTCATCGTGATGCTGTCATCCGTACATGAGTGTCTTACCTTCATCTGAAAGATAAGACTAGCACGTGTCTTGAATATTTTAAGAAATACCCAGTAAGTAACCCCACTGTGGGGGTCGAAAAATGCAAACATATGCAATATGACGAGACTTATCATTTAAAAACATCATGACATGGTCATTACTAGCTTTCCAGTCCGGGATTAGATATGTAATACTTCTATATACATGGTTCAATCTAATTTAATCTGAAAATAGGGAGTTTGGTCGGGTTGAGTTGGATTGTGAACTCTATTCCGATTGCTCGGGTTACCAACTCAATCAACAGAAAATTAGTTTCAGGTTAATCTAAAAGATGTTTCGGATCAAACCCGGGTAGATATGGAATATATTATTGAATAAAGTTAGAAAGATGTTATAAATGGGGTTTAGTTGTGAAACACTAATGATTAATAGTAATAATAATGGGAGGCACGACCTCATTATCAACCCTTCCACCTCAATTCAAAGGAACCAACTCATCATTATTTTATCAAACATTAATATTTAATTTAAAATTATTTTAATCTCAATATTATTTTAGTGTTTATGTTTTAAATATATAACAAGTGCTTTTCTTACCTGAAAAATTATTATTATGTATTTAATTAATTTCGAATAATTAAATTTAATATTTATTAAAAGAATGAAAACCAAATTTTAAATTTAATTAATGTTTAAGGATTAAGTTGAGATTAGTTGAAATAATATAAAGTAATTAAAAACAAGGTTAAATATCGATAGTACCCTTAAATTAAAAAAAAAACAGTAAAAAATGCATTTACTATCAGTTTCGGATCAAAATTAATAATATTTTGTTTAAAAAATATCTTTGAATTTTTAATAGTGTTTCAAAAATTAGTATATATTTAAAAAAAATACTCAAGAAAATTTAAAGGTAGCATTAACATCATTAATATCGATAAAAATAAAAAATAAATTTTTTTGTCAATCTACGTTTTATAGGTTTTGTAAACTTTGTAACGTTATTTTTAAAAGTTCATGAGTTTTTTTAAAATGTGGTACTAACAGTTCTATCAACGTATTAACGGTAATAATTTTTTTGAAGTAAAAAAAAAAAAATGGTACGTTTGAAACCTTTTAAAAGTTTAAAAATAAAATATTAACGATTTCTAATCGAAATTAATTATTTAAATTTAAAAAAATGAAAAAATTAATAATATATTTTTTAAAATTTAGCCTTAGATTATAAATAAATAACATAATACAAAACAATTAAAATTAATTTAAAACATGAACTACAAATTAATTAATGCCTCATCTCCAAAAAGATTAAACAAAAAACCCTAGAGTTCATCAAATATTTTAATCCTTGATCGAAAATTACCCAAGTTTTAGAAACAAAGTTGTTTATGGGTGATGTTTGGCAACTTGTTTTACAAAATACATTTTTAAAATTGATATGAACATTTCCCCTTTTATATTGTGATATCTATCTATCTATATATATATATATATATATAATTTATTTGACTTTCAACAATATCCGCTATTGATTTTTATTTTGTTCATAGTTGAATGCTTGAATTTTGATGATATAAAATGAGGTTTTTGACTGAGAATAGATATCTACGAATTGACCTCGTTCATCTTTCGTGTAATAACGTATAATCAATAAACTATTATGCGCTCGGTTAAAGATGGCTACTTCGGTAAACTTTCTTGTTATTTCTATTAAGGATTCTTGAAGACCCACGTTGACTAACTATGGAGAAGATCACGCACTACCTCTATTCGTACGAGATCTTTCGGGAAAATCGTGAGAACTGATGCTGAAAGTGAATAATATCGTTCCATTAATTGTTTTTTTTAAAAGTGATTCAAGTAAAGATGTCCATTTAACCTACGGAAACGAAAATAATTATATAAGAAACTAAGATACGAGTGTTTTTCTTATAAAATATTATTAGATATTTAAAAGATTATTTGAAAAAAAAAAAAAAAAAGTTAGGTCATTATTAGATACTATTTTGTGTGTCTCTATTATTGCATTTAAATCTTTAATTGTTGATAAGTGATAATGTTAGGGAAAAAGACAAATAAATAAAATTAATTAATTATAGTGATTTCCAATCATTCAAATTAATGTTTTTGCAATCTTATTTTAGCAATCAAAAGCCATTTGAGTTTTGACCCTTTTTAATTTTAGTAATTATGAAATGAACCAATCTAATGCCATTTTATTAACTTAATTTCTTTTTTTTTTTCTTCCCGATTATAAATCTCTGCTTCTCGTGTGCGTAGTTTTATGTCAGCTCTACGCTTGCCCTTATCTTATAGACGACATCGTTTTTGGTTTGGACCAACTTCATTCCTAAAAGTGGACGTTATTCAACTTCCTCCTCCAATAGGCTGGTGATCGACACTTCCTTCTATACAACACTTTGATTTGTGACATGTCAGTCTAATAACTATTTGGTATAGGCAAATTCTATTTAATGTGAGTGGTTGTTCCAATTCCCTCTAAAATCGAGGGCACAAGCTCAAAACATGTTTTCTATGGTTTGATTCAACATTATGCCCGTCAGGTTGCACCGGAATCCAACCAGACCACATTTCCTTCTGCAAACTCTTCCAAAAGTTGGAGGTAAATCGAGAATCTCTGTTTGAAATGATTCTTATAGGTACTCTATGAAGCAGCCTCACTATCTCTATCGTGTAGAACTGTGCCGAATGGAGATTTCTAAACAGATCTACTATGAACTACATGAAAATCTTCTTCCATTTCCACTGGGGCACACTCAATGGCTGCACTAACCCTATTGGTCTTTGCCTCGATGCTTTTACTAGCTAGCACACCATATACTTACTAATATAGTCTACTATGTCTTTCATCACTAACGTCACCAAAGAAATACTTCAGATTATGATATATTGAAATTGACGAGTAGTGGGCCTCTTGTATAATCTTGTCTTTGACCTCCCAAAACTCTATGCACTGGTTCCATTTTTCAATCGACTAATGAACTTGACGAGGTTGGAATCCCCCTATTGATAATTTATATAAACAGCTGAGCTTACTACTCAAGCATCAATAACTACATTTGTCATTATGAGATGGCGGTAGATGTCCACATCATTAGTCTTTCTCCAACTCAAGCCATCTACGTTGTCTCATGCTCAACTCCTTATGAGTTAAGAGGTATCTCAATATTCGTGTTCAGTGAACATCTGAGTCCTCTCACTGTACATATATAATGTCTCTATAATTTAAATGCAATGAATATTGTCGCTAACTCTAGGTCATGTGTGGGATGGTTACGTTCGTAATCCATTAGCTAGGAAGATAGATATGCCCATCTTCAAGGTATCACTGTAACCCATGAATCCCCTTTTCCTTCATAGATTGTAAGCACCGAGGTTGTGACCAATCTTCGTTTGAGCTCTAGAAAGTTCTATTCATATGAATTATCCCTTTTTGTGTCAACTGCGTCATATGGGTGGCTACCTTAGAAACGTCTTGCGCGAAACGTTGTAGTGTCCAACCAATTCCAGAAAAAATTGTATCTTTGTAATAGTAGTACGACGAGACCACTTGGTTACTGCCTCGACCTTAGTTGGGACCATCGAGACCTTATCTTATGAAACTATGTGGCCAAGGAATGTCACTTGTTGGAGTCAAAACTTGCACTTGGAGAACATGACATACAATTTAATTCTCCTCGGGGTTGTTAAGACTTTCTTGAGGTGCATCTCTTACTCTTCATCTATCGTGGAGTATACTTAGATATCGTCCATAAATATGATTATGAAGGTATCTAAGAACTCCTTAAACACCTAGTTTATTAACCCTAAGAAGACTACGAGTGTGTTTGTCCAACTGAAAGACATCGTCATAAACTCATAGTATCTTTGTTGAGACCTTTGTTGCTTGAAGATGTCGTCTTCATAGATTTTCAATTGATGATATCACAATCTCAACTCGATCTTGGAGAACATGATAGCTACCTAGTTCTACCTTTTTTGGATCTTCATATGATCCATCAAAAGTGTGGTCGTATAAAAAATTCTCAATCGAAGGACTAAGAAAACAGAATTTCACCATTTGGTCTGAGTGTCAAGTGTTTACAAAACTAGTCAAGCTACTGCATAACCTAATCCCATGGCTTCACGACAGACGTCGCTAATCGTCTTACTCATCTTTGTTCTTACTTGAAAATAAAATATCTTAAAAAATGTTGAGTATTACAAATATCTAGTAAGTGACCACACGGTTGGAGTAGAAAATGATATTGGAACCTATCTTTTATTAAACTTCCTTTTATTGGGCATATCACCCTATGCGACCGACCATATCACCATGGCAACATAAGGGGGTCATATCACCAGGCTTCAACATGCCTAATTATGACCATATCACCATAAAACATAGAGGGGTCATACTAACAGAGATTCTGATGGTTTCTCCGATGTGATCTCACGCAAAGACCCTTAAAGATAATAATTAACATATAAATTCTTTATAAATAGTTTAATTGTACAAGTAAATTAATGAAATTTTCAAAATATTGAAGATTTATTAGGTGAAAAAAATATAAAAATTAAAAGGCTAAAATTGTAATTTTAATATAATTTATTTATTTATTTTAAAAAATAGAGCGGGTGTCGGGTGACAAATCGTTGGTCACAGATTAATTTATTTACAAAATATATGCTGAGGTGTACATTGGACGACTTGGAATTAAGAAACTCCACAATGATATAGCCAGCTCAGATGACGCCAATGCCTAGCTGTAATTTAATTTCATAATTAAATAATAATAAATAAATAAATTTTTTTTTAAAAAAAAACCCCTCTCCTCTCTCTGTTTCGCAGTAGAAAAATTGTTGGAAAACACGAACAAATTCATTCCTTATAAAATCCTAAATTCTCTCGCAAATTTCTCTCCATCTCTCTTTCTGAACTTTTTCTTCTTCTTCCTTGGAGAGAAAATAGGTGATCCAATCAAGCCGAGGAGAAATGGGAGCTTGTGCGACTAAGCCGAAGGTTGACGCCGGCAAGGCTCCGGCACCTGAGCCGGAGAACAAGGATGTTGATGCTGTAGTCGCTGTTCAACCGGAGAAGAACGTTGAGGTTCCGGTGGTGGAAGTTGCCGGAGAGGGAAACCAAAGCGATAAAGGCAAGGAAGTTGTTGTTGATGACGACGACAATAAGGCGGATGATCAGAGAGTTAAAACCCGCTCACTTAGCAACTTGTTTAAAGAGGTATTTCGCAATCTTCGTCTATTTTAGTTTCCTCGATTTTGTTTCGATTTTCTTCCGATTATCGATTGCTAATCGTTCTTTGAATGTCTATTGAGAATCTGATGCTGTTTTTGTTGAGTATAATTAAATATATTGTTTGAGAAATTCATCGTTGTTCTTTTTTTTCTCTGTTTATCGTTGAAATTCTTTCTCGCTATTTGTTGTTCGTTGAATGGATTGTGCTGGTTGATTTTGAAATTAGGGGACTCTGCGGCTGTTTGGTTCTTGAGAAAGAAATGGGAGAAAAAGTATAAGAAAATGAAGAATATGCTATTGATACCTGGAGTTTCTCTGTTTCTGAATTGAATATTTTATAGCCTTTTCATTTTTTCATTCGGAGCCTCTGGAGTTTATTCGCGAATCACGGCGGTTTATCGGGAACCAAACAGATTTGTTTACTCTTTTCCAGAAAAAAAACCTTTATCCTCTTTTGGACGTAAAGCGAACTGAACAGTCGTCCCAAAGGTAAAAAGCGATGTAAATAATTGCAATTATACTTTCCAAAATGGCCCACTTCTTCGTAATTTATGACTTGTCGGCATCCTAGAATTTAGAGATTCAAACTTTCAAGGAAAAATTTCACCTCATTTCCAATGGTTTCCTTTTCGATTCAAGAACTCTGTTGGTTTGATTGGACGTTCCGAGACTTCGATAATTTAGGTTCGAATCTTTTGCACTAAAGAATCAATACATAGAATCTTCCATAATCCACAACACATTCGTTTGGTGACAAACAAAAGTGTCTTTCCTTGAGGGGCCCCCCTTTTTCCTCATCTTTCTTCTATGGCTGTTTCATGGCTCATTGAACCTTACCTGTTTGGCTGCACCTTATAGAGGTTTCTTTCCTTCCCATGTGATCTTGATGGGAAAAGGGTTGATGCATTTTTCACCCGCACGTTCGGATACGGCATGTCCCCAGGGCCCTAGTTATGCATTCCTGCAACCAGAAAAACACAGTTGGATTCGAGTAAATATTGATCTGTAGGTTATGTTGATAGTTGGCCTTAGGATCAGCTGACCTTCCATGGGTCGTACTTTTATTGTCTCTGCTTGTAACGACCCTAAGCCCACCGCTAGAAGATATTGTCCTCTTTGGGCTTTTCTTTTCGAGCTTTCCCTCAAGGTTTTTAAAACGCGGATACCAAGGAGAGGTTTTCACACTCTTATAAAGAATACTCCGTTCTCCTCCCCAACCAATGTGGGATCTCACACCGCTCCTAATAGTTTGTTGTTTGTGCATTGCTTGGAAAATGACTGTTGATCAATATGATCTTGCATTGCCAACTGGTGGGTGCCCAAATTGATTTTGTATTATAAATGAGATGTGTGTTCGTAAATGGTTAGCTAGCTTAGCTGTAGCTGTGCTTTGAAGTTGTCGGTTTGAACTGCTTCAAAATATGGGACACAAAGTTTGGTTTGATCTACTCAGATCAATTTTGTTTTGAAAAATATGTTATGGCAGCTAAAACTTTCTTTGCTTATAGTCTAAATCTGAATATACTGCAGAAAGAAGGGAGTGAATCAAATGAATGTGAGAAGCCAGCAGGGGAAATAAAGGCACCTCAAACTGAACTAGAAACTGAAAAGTGTATAGAAGAGCCCCAAACAGAGGTGCCTCAAACGGTTGTCGAGACCGAAAAACATATCGACGAAGCGGAGACGAAGGTGCCTCAAACTGTAGTAGAGCCTGAAAAACATACAGATAAAGCCGAACCAAATGCGCCTGAAACCGAGTCAGAAAGGATACAGATCGCTGATGTTGTTCCCACAACTTCTGAGACCCTTCCTGAGGAGAAAGTAATCTTGCCTTCACCACCTGATGAAACTGAAGTAGTGACATTAGTTGAAGCAACACCAGCAGCAGATGAGACCAAAGCATCTGAGAAGAAAAAAGAAGATATCATTGATGTCGAGAAGACCGAGATGGAGACACCGAAAGAAACCGACTCGAAGCCCGCTGCTCCAACGGAAACCAGTACCGAGCCAGCACAACAAAACGATGAAGTAGTGAAGGTAATTGGTGAGGAGAAAATAACAAGCTGATGAAAAGTGAAGTATTGAAAGTATAAGAAGACGCCTTTGTTGTTGGCTGTTTAAATTTATGATGTGGGAGAAACTTTGCCCAAAGAAGACGTGGCTGCAATCTGCCATGATGATCAAGGTTAGATTGTTGTGTTTGGAGGCTTTGTTTCTATTGTTTTGTTGTATATCATTTGTTGGTTTTTCGTTGAGTTGCTCATCCTCTTTCCTTTGCTTTGCATGTAGACATACGAGTTTGTAAGATTAATATGAACATAGAATGCCCTCTTTTAAATGTGAAATTTACAATTCTTCATGATTTTGACTCTGAAATTTGCCTCAACTTTATGCTCATTTCTGTCTTTGAAACTATTTCTAAAAGGGTCAATTGATTGTAGCAATGCTATATACTTATGTTTATAATCAATATGAGCTCCTTAGCGTCATTGTTCAAGTATGGAGATGTCGGTATGGGTCATACTTCTTCAATTGTGCAGCATTGTGATTTTGACACATTTGCGACAAGCCTTAAAGGGAATTCAAGCCCCATTTACATATTTTGCCATTTGTGGTTTCGTTGGACCTTAGCTAAGGTTTGTTTTTGCCAACCGAACATCACTTGTGTGGAATCCAAGCTTGTTCAATCACATACGCTGCTTGCATGTGCATGTTCAATTGTTTGTGACACAACCGACTTGCCTTTACACTAGGCCAAGTCATTTGACTTGATCTTATCTCTACTCGGGGCCAAGGTCTCTCAATGCAACGTCACATCTCATTGCAATCTCAGTTCCCAACCATATGACCCATGTATTGTGGTGCTATCCCATGTCTCGGGATAGCTCGACCATCTTGGCTTGCTCGGACACATTTGTTGGGAACTGACCCATGTGTCGATCATCTCATCCGGATATCCTAAACATCCATCCATCCAGGTTCTCATTGGGCATTGGACTCTCCTGTGTCCATGCTAGACCATTTATGGCATTCGTTCTGAATAACTGGTGCATAATCTAACCTCCGACACATGGGCTGGGATGCCACCTGATACTGTTTTTTAAAAACTCATTTCAAAGGAAGTCGCTCAAGACACTTGTCTTGAAACGTTTTCCCTCACTATGACACACGTATGTGCCATATGGTAGCCACTTAGGCCATAAGACCCATGGGTGGTGGAGAGCTGATACCATACCTCCCCTAAAGTACATTATGAGGCATTTTTATTGTGACACACGTATGTGACATATGGTAGCCACTTAGGCCATAGGACCCTTGGGTGGTGGAGAGCTAATACCATACCTCCCCTAAAGTACATTTTGAGGCATTTTTAAACTAGTAGACGTAGATTTGATTTTGGCAAATGGATATACGGTGTTGTGGAGTGTTCGTCTAGTGTCCGATAGACACCAAATTTACCAGATTTGGCGAGCTTTCATATTTCATATAGATGGACTTGACTCTAGAATCACACCCACCCATGCGTCCCATGGCCGACACTAACTTTTATTAGATATAACTGGCGTTTTGTTTGTCTTAAATTACACCTAACTTTAGGCTAACTTTTATTAGATTTCAATCTATTTTTATTTTACCTTTATTTTATTTGCTTTTGTCACGACTATTTTAAATCTAGTGAGTTCAATTAATATCCACAATGTTACTTCATCTAAATCTCCACGACTTTGAGGAAATCTGTTGGTACATCGCCATATTTATATCTAAACATCCCAAATTTTCCAAAACTTGAATATGGTGCCTTAAACCAATTAGCCATCTTGATAGTTTGTTGTGAGATCCCACGTTTGTTGGAGAAGAAAATGAAGTATTTCTTACACAAGAGTGTAGAAACATCACCCTAGTAGACACGTTTTAAAACTATGAGGTTGACGACGATATGTAACGGGCTAAAACGGACAATATCTTCTAGCGGTTGGAGAGGTAAACGAAGCATTCCTTATAAGGGTGTAAAAATTTTTCCCTAGTAAACCCGTTTTAAAACGGTGATGCTGATGACGTTACATAATGAACTAAAGTGAACAATATCGGCTAGCAGTGAGTTTGAGCTATTAGAAAAGGTATCAGGGTTAACCACTAGGGGGTGTGCTAGCGTGGGGGTGAATTGTGAGATCCCACATCAGTTTGAGAGATGATGAAACATTACTTATAAGGGGGTAGAAACCTCTCCCTAGTAGACACATTTTAAAATTGTGAGGCTGACGGCGATACATAACGAGCAAAATCGAACCATATCTACTACTAGTGGGCTTGGGCCATTACCAATGATTGGTTGGAATAACTCAGTTGGTTAGAGTGTGTGGTTGTTAATCACAAGGTTGGGGTTTCAAGCTCTCCTTCTAGCGATGCGAATGAAATATTGCTTATATAAGGGTTTAGATACCTCAATCTAGGATACTGGTTGTTCACAAAAGTGACAATGCACCCTATAGATGAGTCGGTAGATCCATAATGCTAGAACCCCATAGATGTTGGAGAGGAAAAAATAAAGCAACATTTTTTACATGGGCGTGGAAACATCTTCCTAGTAGACGCATTTTAAAACTATGAGGTTGATGACGATGCGTAACAAGCCAAAATGAACAATATCTTCTAACGATTGGGGAAGGAAACGAAGCATTCCTTATATGGTATGAAAACCTCTCCTTGGTAGACGCGTTTTAAAACGGTGATGCTGATGGTGACACATAATTGGCAAAAGTGGATAATATCTGCTAGCGATGGGTTTGAGCTATTACGAAAGGTATAAGAGTTAGCCACTGAGCGGTGTGCCAACATGGGTGGTGGATTGTGAGATCTCACATCGGCCAGAGTGGGGATGAAACATTCCTTGTAAGGGTGTAGGAACCTCTCCCTAGTAGACGCATTTTAAAATCGTGAGACTGAGGTGATATATAATGTGCAAAAGCAAACAATATCTACTACTAGTGGGCTTGAGCCATTACCAATGAGTGGTTGGAATAGTGGAATAGCTCAATTGATTAGAGCGTGTGGCCTTAGTCACAAGGTTGGAGGTTCAAGCCCTCCTTCTAGTGATGGACCTCATGGAAAGATGAATAGCTAGCAAGCTTGTGTGTAGGGTCACTTCTCGAAATGTTGATTGAATGGAAATTATTGTGGAAGAGTCTTAACCTTTACATAGATGTATTTATACTCAATCTAGGATACAATAGTGACAATGCAAGCCCACGCCGTCTCGCGACTGCTTATTATGATACACATTTGTTGGAGAGGAAAAATAAAGCATTTTTTACATGGGTGTGGAAACTGTTAAGTTAAATGGCACTGTGACCTATATGGGTCACGACCTCATGTATTTATAGATGTATAATGAGATTGCATAACAAACCATGAAATCATAGATTTGACAGTGGCTTTGTCATGATATCAGCGAGCTGATCTTTGGAAGATATGAGTTGCACATCAAGCTGACGAGTCGATACTCGTTCACGAACGAAGTGATAATCAACCTCAACATGCTTCGTTCATTGATGAAAGATTGGATTTACGGCCAGATAGGTGGCATCAATGTTGTCACACCACAGGCTAGGCGCTCGCGCTTGTGAGATCCCGAGCTCACGCAAGAGGACTTGGATCTAGATTAATTCGACAGTGGCATCAACAACCGCCTTATATTCGGCCTCCGTACTAAAACGAGAAACTGCCGATTGTTTCCTTGAACTCCAGGAGATAAGATTGCCACCAAAGAAGGATCACATAGCCTCCAGTGCTTCGACGATCATCAGGATTCCCAACCCAATCAGCATCCGAAAAGGCATTCAGCAAATCAGTGCTGAACTTTGTAAGACACAAGCCCATATCAATAGTGTCATGTAGATAACGAAGAATTTGCTTGACTGCCGCCCAATGTACAGAAGTCGGGGAGGACATGAACTGACACACTCTATTGACATAGAAGGATATATCAGGACGTGTCAGAGACAAATATTGGAGAGCACCAATGACACTCCGATAGCAAGTAGTATCCTCAGGCGAGAGCTTTTCACCTCCATCCAATAACAACTTCTCACTAGGAAGCATAGGTGTGGGCACACCTTTCGGGGGTGAGCATATTGGTTATGGACAATAAATCTTGAATATATTTATGTTGTGTTAGAACAAGTCCATTGGAAGTATGGCGGACCTCAATCCCAAGAAAATAACTCAAAATGCCAAGATCCTTGACGGCAAAATCATCCCGAAGCAGTGTAAGAAGTTTCTCAGTAGTCGTATAAGATGAGCTGATGATAATAATGTCATCAACATAGATGAGGATATATATTTGAATGCTCGTCTTGTTAAAAATGAAAAGAGAGACATCAGCCTTTGAAGGTGTAAAATCCAGCTGTAAAAGTTTGGAGCTAAGGCGAGAAAACCAGGCACGCGAAGCTTGTTTGAGGCCATAAAGCGACTTATCCAGCTTGCAGAGATAACCAGGATGTTGAGAATCCACACATCCAGGGGTCTGCTTCATATAAACATCTTCATTAAGAAAGCCACGAAGAAAAACATTTTGAATATCAATCTGCTGAATAGTGCAACCACGAGAAATAGCAAGAGATAATAAGAGCCGAATGGTAGTGAACTTAACAACTAGACTAAAGGTATCATCATAATCAACGTCATACTGCTGTTTAAACCCTTTAGCAACCAGGTGTGCTTTGTAGCGATCAATAGAGTCATCTGGCTTTTGCTTGAGCTTGAAAACCCATTTGCAATCAATAACATTAAGACCAACACGAGGAGAAACTAAGTGCCATGTTTTATTTGTTAGAAGTGTCTGAAATTCATCAATTATTGCTTGACGCCAGAGGGGATGCTCCATAGCAGTAATATGTGAAGTAGGTTCAGAGGCAGAAGACCGAACTACATAATATGTTACTGTTCCATGTGTACACACTTTGGGTTTCTTGATATTGTGCTTCAATCGAGTACGATACGGATGAGTAGTAGGTGCAGGATCCACAATTGAGGGGAGAGCTGTACTAGCCGTTGCGAGGGGAGCAACCGGTGCTACAGCAGTCGGTTGACCAGTGGCTGAGGATCTGACTGGACATTGTGCAATATCATCTGCTGGCGGAGGATCCGAGGCCCCAATCATTGGTGAAACATCCAACGCCGATTCGTGCGGCAGCAACGCAGAGGATTGCAGCGGCAATTTTGAAGCTGATGTGGGCACCAGATTTTCTGCATCCAAAGAGTTAGTAGGCACAGATATATGCATATGATCATTATCCAAATTAGTACTGCTGCTACCCAAATGCAATGTGCACAAATCAGGGGCATTGTGCGTCGGCTGCAAGGTTGGGGAATAAGATTCGGATTACCTTGTTGATCAAATATCTCAAGGCAAGAACTTTGTTTGAGATTCGAATCACTCCACAAGCAAGATCGATCATGTCTAGCTTGAATGATTCTTGTTGATCAAATATCTCAAGGCAAGAACACTTGATTGAGATTCGAATCATTCCACAAGCAAGATTGATCATGTCGAGCTTGAATGATTCTCATGCAACCTAAACTACATAGAATTGCAAAGAAACTTAGCCATTGGCTAAAGAAGAGCACAAATGCTTCTTTTACTATATTTTCCAAGTCTACTTACAAATACAACATACATGATTTTATATAGTCTACAAAATGAAAGGCATTCCAAGAGCGGTAACATTCATACTTTATGGCCATAATTAGCCATTATGTAAAACACAATAACTCTAAATTACTATAAATTGTAACCCACCCAAAATTTATAACAATCAAACTTCATTCTTCTTCAATGTGGTATGAATTGGAATATCTTTTGATAATTTTGACAGCCTTTTCTTCACATCTTCATTGAAGTATATTGTATGATTGATGTTTTTTTGGTTCATATCAGTACTGCTGCTACCCAAATGCAAGGTGCACAAATTAGGGGCATTGTGCGTCGGCTGCAAGGTTGGGAAAGAATTGGGTGGGGCTCTCTTGAACGAAAAAACATTCTCATTAAATATGATGTCTCTAGAAATATAGACACGACTAAAATCAGTGTCAAGACACTTATACCCTTTATGTAAAGAATTGTAGCCTAGAAAGACGCATTCCTTGGATCAAAAAGATAGCTTTTGTTTGTTATAAGGACGAAGATGAGGCCAACAAACACACCCAAAAACTTTTAATAAGGAGTAATTTGGTGGGGTATGAAAAAAACGTTCTAAGGGGCTTTTATTATCGATGACACGAGTAGGAAGATGATTGATGAGATATGTGGCTGTAAGAAATACGTCATCCCAAAATTTAATAGGTACATTAGCATGAGCTAGAAGGGCTAGGTCAGTTTCAACAATATGATGGTGCTTGCATTTAGCAGACCCATTTTGTTGATGCGTGTGAGGGCACGAAACACGATGAGCAATTCCAAGGGAACGAAAGAATGTATTATGAATTTTATGATATTTCCCACCCCAATCAGACTGGACACACTTGATTTTAGTATCTAGGAGGCGCTCAACATGAGCTTGGAACTGCAAAAGTATACGAGGAGCTTCTGGACGATCATGCATCAAATAGATCCACGAAAATTTACTGAAATCATCAATGAAGCTAATATAATATTTAAAACCCCCAACAGATGGAGGTGCAGGGCCCTATACATCCGAAAAAATTAGTTCCAAAGGTGATGAAGACCTAGGAGAAGAACTAGTATATGGTAACTGACGACTTTTTGCTCACTAACATACATTACAAACCGACAAAGGTGACTCACTAGCACAAGAAATATTATTGAGACGCAAAATTGACTTTACTACTTGAGATGAAGGATGTCCAAGACGTGCATGCATTGGGTGTGAGTAGTAGATCTGCTCACTAAGGCGTGCTTGAGAGCATCGACATCAGATGGCTTAATAGGATAGAGACCAGACTCACACCTCCCGTCTAGAAGACTTTTCATCGACTGTCGATCCTTAATAGAAAAATGCCAAGGATGGTATTAAAAAAATACGTCATTATCACGAAAAAATTTATGACGGAAAGAAGATGTTTGGAAATTTCAGGCACATGCAAAATATTATGCAGTGCAAGAGGACGAGCAGCAATATTAATTAAAGAATGACCAGTATGCAAATTACGCAAGCCTGCTCCATTGCTGACTTGAACTTGTTCACCTCTATGATAGCGTTCACTCACAACGAGATGATCTAGGTCACTGGTGATATGATCAGTGGCGCCTATGTCGCTGTACAAATTTGGATCAATCTTGTAAGAGGAAGTAGTCGCCAGTGCCGCAGAAGGAGCAGAAGGAGGTTCATCTTGATAGGACTCATCCATCCTATGCCAGCAGCGAACAACAGTATGCTCCACGTTGCCGCAAATATGGCAGGAAGGACGAGCAGAAGGGTCACGACGATCACTAGTAGGACGAGAGGGCGCACCACCTTGAGAACGGCCATGACCACGATCCCTATGCCCACAGTTCTTATGCTGACCACCACGACCAGCATAATTGGCATAAAATCCAGGATTTAACTGAAGTTCAGCTTGATGTTGTTGTTGGCGAGCTTCAAACGCCATTAAATGTGTAAACACATCGTCAAGCGTGAGGGCTTCACTCTTGATAGTCATCGAGGTGACAAAGGGATCATAGTCAGGGCCAAGACTAGCAAGAAGATACGAGATGACATCATTATCCTGCAAGGCAGAGCTGGCGGCGGTCGGCTCGGTGGCCAGCCCTTTGATCTTGCGAAAATAATTTGCAGTAGACAGATCGCGTTTCTTGGACGTGGCGAGCTCAACACGGATCTGAACAGTGCGAGCACGAGTTGACGACAAAAACATCCGCTGCAGGGTATCCCACGCCTCCTTAAACATAGTAGCAGCAACCACATCGTGAAGAATCTCCTCAGACCTGGTGAAGAGGGATTGGGTCAAAAGTCGACGCCATGGTAATTGAGATCGTGTTGGAGATGGTTGATGGGGAGAAGGAAGAAGATATGATAGACATTGTTAATGAATAAACCTTGGTTCTGATACCATGTTAAGTTGAATGGCACTGCGACCTATATGGGTCACAACCTCGTGTATTTATAGATGTATAATGAGATTGCATAACAAACCATAAAATCATAGATTTGGTAACAAACCAGGAAATCATAGATTTGTACAGATATGATCTATTGTATGTTTAATAGAAACATCTTCCTAGTAGACGCGTTTTAAAATTATGAGGTTGACGACGATACGTAATAGGCCAAAACAGACAAGATCTTCTAGCAGTTGGAGAGGGAACGAAACATTGCTTATATGGTGTGGAAACCTCTCCTTAGTAGACACGTTTTAAAACGATGATGCTGATGGCGACATTCCTTATATGGTATGGTGGTAGAAGCATTTTAAACGATATGCTGATGGCGACACATAATGGACAAAAACGAAAAATATCTACTAAAAATGGGCTTGGGCTACAACAAAGTTTAGTTGGTTAGAGCGTGTGGCTGTTAACCACACTGTCGGAGGTTCAAGCCCTCCTTTAAAACATAATCTAATAGCTCAATTCCGCTTTACATGAAAAGAATTATTATTTTTTATTAAATTGAAGAAAAAATAATTTCAAAATAACAAAAATTTTAAGATTTATCTAAAATGAAATGAAATAAAATGAAAGCCTAAAGGAAAATAGTGAGTTGTCATGATTTAGTTGTGTCGCTTTCTTTCACTGGCAAACTGCATTCTCTGTCTATTTCTTTTGGCCCTAAATTGAGTTTCAGCTCTTTGCTCTTTCCCCATAGCACACTGTACAGACCTGCGATCAATAACAGCCCTCCTATGCCACTGCAACCAACCAAAAAAAAACTCTAATTATTAAACTTTAACTCTATTAGAATAGTGATGATTTTTTAATAGAATATTCAATTTTGGGTCGAATGAAACAAGTATGAAGTAAACTCTTAAGTTACCTTCCAAGGCTGATATTCTCGCCAAAAAGAAAGGCCGAACCAAGAGTTGTAAGGACAAGAACAATTGGTGTTGACATGGCTAAGAAAACGGGCCCTTTCTTCTTAATGAGCCACGTTTGAATAGAATATGTAACCCCAGTTGCCACTATTCCCTGCACCAAATATTGTTATCTTTATTGATTACTAGATAAACGTAGAATTATTCGAACACTTTGATGTTTTACTCTGATGTATGAGATTTAAGTATCATAGAAGCGACAAATAGGTGACATGGTCATGTCATAGGAAACATGTAAAAAAAGACGAAAGCATGCTGAAAAGACATGTTAGTTTGTGGGAATAGACTTCACTCTTAGAAGCGACAAATAGGTGATAGGTCATGTCCTAGGGGATGCCGGAGAATGTTGGGTGTTGAATTTGGATTCTAAATCCGACATAATGCATTACAAATGATGTCAGAGTGGTACCTCTCCTAGTAGGACGTAATTCAAGGATGAACCAAGGAGGAGTTGGTGGATATGTGATGCCCGAGTTAATAAGGGATACATGAATAAATCGAGACCTTATCTGAACGAAAGTGATTCTAAGGATAGGATTCGTGAGAAATACTTAAAAAAAAACTGAAATTACTACCTATATCAATTAGGTACACCTTTTTTCTTAGATTTTCTTAGAAGGTGACCTAACACGAGTCATGTTGGCTTTACGCCGGACGAACCAAGGTGGAGTTGGTGGGCATCTTAGAAGGTCACGAGCAATCCTATGTTAGGTGACCTTCTAAGATTTTTTTTAGAAAGTATGTGAATGAGGACAACATGGCTCGTGTTGTTCTTTGGGGATAAACTTCACTCTTAGAAGCGACAATTCGTATATGCAATCACGGCGATAACTTTTTTCACATCAACAAAATTCAAGTAAAGAACGAAATAACTTACACAATATAAAACTGCAAGAAGTCTTAGATCCCAACCCAATTTCCATTCGTCAAGGTCTCTCTCCAAAGCAATGGCAACAATAAATGATTGAAACGAGCTAACAAGACATTGAAGGGTAGTGAAAAGAAGCGTTGAGGGATAACTTTTCAGTACGAACGCCTGTATTAAACCAAAAGACTCGATAATTAAAAACAAAATCGTTATTAAACACGTGTTGACTCGTAGAATTACAAAGAAATTAAGTAAGTACCTGAAGAACAAGTGATAAAGCCCATAAGATATTTGAAGCCATCATTAGGAGGCAACCCTTTAACCAAGTGTGGGTTGAAGCATCATGCAGTGGATGTTGGTTATGTATAGTAAAAAGGTGGTGATTGTTAAAGAGAGTGAGCTGAGGGCCTTTGTAGAACACCAAAACCAACACACCGCCCGTACAAAACACTATTCCTCCAACCTTTGCTATTCCTACTATTGACCTTAACCTCAGCACCTCCAACCTGCCAAACAATGAACCAAAAATTTTACCATTTTGTAATAAATTTGAACAACACCGACCCATTTGTAATTGATTTCGGTTTATATTTCAAATGAGTTGTTGTTTCCTTCTAAGTTTTGAAATTTTTTACCATATTTATGTGTATTTTATCGTACTTTTGTTTGTTTGTCTTTTTTGTTATGGTCTGTGCTTCGAAACCTTGAAAATTAGATCGTGACATGGTTGGTGAGATTGAGAATTAGGATTGAGGATTGAAAGAATTGTGAGATCCCACAATCTCACATTGGTTGGGGAGGAGAACGAAACACCCTTTATAAGGGTGTGGAAACCTTTCTCAAGCAGATGCGTTTTAAAGCCTTGAGTGGAAGTCTGAAAGGAAAAGCTCAAAGAGGACGACAGTATCTACTAGCGGTGAGTTTGGGCCATTACAGAAAATAGGTTTTTGATCTTTCGATACCATAATCGAATGAGAGCGATCTTGAGAATAAGATGATTAAGAAAGACTTTAAAAGAATTGAAAGTTACTACCGATACCAACAAGGTGCACCTTCTTGGTGGCTCAATCGTAAGAACTCTAAAGTTAAATGTGTTTTGCTTGAAACAATGATCTTTTGGAAAGGACGTGAGTTAGGACAAAACATGCTAAAAGAATCTGTGTTGGCTTGTGGGGATGAATTTTGGGTATGAATTTTGGGGATAGTCTTCACTCTTCTAAACAAGGAGTAAGTAAAATCACCACGTTGCAGGAAAATGTTGAGGCTATCATGTGTCGAATTTAGATTCCAAACCCTAATCCGTCATCAGGATATAAAAGCTAAGAAAGGCTTAAATAGATGGAAAGTTACTACCTATACGAACAAAGTGCACCTTTTTTTTTTCGGTGGCTTAATCGTATAACTTCAAAATTAAGTGTGTTTTGCTTGGAACAATTCTTTAATGAGTGACCTCCCGTAAGTTTTCATAGGAAGTATGTGGATGAGGGTAAAGCATACGGAAAGAACTTGTGTTGGTTTGTAGTTGAAAAGACCTACGTTGATTTGTTGGGATAGTTTTCACTCTTTGAAGTAAGAAGTAAGTAAAGTGACCATGTCACAAGGGGTGCAGAGGAATGTCGGGCCGATCATGTGCCGTATCCAAATTCCAAATCCTAGGCATGATTTATTACACAAAACTTCCGATTTAACCTAAAAATATTTAATAATTAAGTCCGATTAGATACCTAATGAATCTTTTTTAAGTTTAAGAACATATTAGGCATTACTCCAAAATCATACGAACCAACGCTCGAAAGTTTAAATACCAAAATTTAAATCTGTAGTTTACCTGAATAGAAGAGCAAAAAGAAAGGTAAAGACCGGAATAGAATTTACAGTTGCTGCAGCTAAACTTGCTGACGTATAAATAAGAGCAACTCCTTGAAGATCGAGACTTGCCGTGATCCTACGAATAGAATAACAAACATTTGAGGTTACATAATTTGGTTTTTAGGAAATTATGAGTTAGATTATTTTAAATAGAATCATAAACATCTTAAATTTATTCACTTATAAAACTTGATTTTACTTATAAAATTGAAATAGGTAAATTGATTTCTTTTCTATAAAATATAAAAGCATTCATTTTTGGTATATAATGATTTTTCGATCTATAACATATATACGTACTTCAATAACAAATAATAAACAGAGATGCCTATTTAACTCTGAAGACCGTGTCTCGAACAGGCTTGAAAATCCTCAATGCCTATTTAACTCTCAAGACTGTGTCTCGAACAAGGTTAAAAATCCTCGTCGTAACGGAGATTGAGGTATGGAGCGAAGAGAGATTCCTCCCTATTAGCTAAACAGGGTCGGAGGTAAAAATTATATTTTTCATCTCCTTCCCCACGTTGACCCCACCCAAGTCCCCTCTTTATCTCAATATATTATTTATTATTTCTATATTTAATAAATAAATAAATAAATATTTTTTTTTTAAATGTGGAACATGTATGTTAAAATATTGAAATTGGAGTGTTTTAAAAAATATGTTAGAATATTCTATACTATTTTTGCATATAAAATATTAGTGTATGGAATATTCTTTAATTTATTAGAATATTTTATTTTTATGGGTAGAAATTATATTGGAAAAATGAAAATTATACATTAATCCCAAAGAATTCTCCGGTAGCAAATAAAGAATTTGGCAGAGATAGGAATTGAAATAGGAGACAAGAACAGAGACGAAGAAGACTTTCTCGTCCTTCCATCGTTATAAACTTTAAAACATCGTATAAACCTTCGCAAATATAAAACTACAAAATCTAAATCCATTCATGCAAGTTACACAAGATGAAGATCAAATGTGTTTTTTTAACCAAAATCAAAGAGAGGAGCAATAAAAGCATACCCAAATAAAGAAAGCATAAAGATCTTGGCGAAGGTGACAAATGAAAGGGGAGGCGCAGTTTTCCTGAGAAACAAACAGAAAATCAAACCGAAAGCTAAGAAAATGAAGAAAGAAAAGCAAAAAGTTAGACTAAAAAGTGAGTTACCATTCAAAATACAAAGCGATGGGCAACAAGAACACAGTGGCTATGGCTTGCCTATAGAAAACAAAGATAAAGTTGTTCATTCCGCCATCAAAGGCAGCTTTGGAGAGCAGAAACATTCCTGCATAAATGCTATGTCTGAGTAGCACTGCAAAATAAGGCTTCTTTTCCATCTTCCTCAGACTCTCTACGTTCATTGCCTCATAAAGATATCTTCTAAATTTATAGCGTTTTGGTTTCCTATGGGCCAAAAACAATGATTATTTTTGAAGCATATGGAATGGGTATATCCATTAATTATTAAGCTATCATTTCCATTTCAAAAGGGATCAACCTTGATACGAACTGCATAGAATAATACAGAGGTTTTGTCCAAACGTGTAGGACATCTTTAGTTTAAATGGCAACCACTAAAGTTTTGTTAAATATTGCATTTTTAAATCCATTCATAATATCTTTACAATTTATATGTTCACATTCTGTTCGATTCATTCTCTCATTCCACTTTGAAAATCTTCATGTAGATTCACACTTTGGAAAATATCGGGGTGAAACTGACCTAAATTTTCAAATTTTCGAAAAATTAACTCGATCCAAATAAAAAAAAAAAAAAAATCTAACTCAACTAAACTTTTGGGTCATATGAACACGTCTAAATATGTCATAAAATTGATGAAGCGGAAGAAATTTAAGCGTGAAGGAGATGGATAAAGGGTATGAGTATGAAATATGATAGATGTGATAAAAGTGCATGAAGTAGGATTTATTATTTAATTTTTTTAAGAAAAAGATGGGATGAAATAGAATAGCTGTCTGCATATCAAGTCAAAGATTAAGAAATATATCTCATAATTGGATGAAGATCTGTATTCTAATCATTCTTCAATTTCCTAATATTTAATTCAATTGGTTCACACCACCATTTTAAGGTTTAGACTCAATTTTAAGTTGATAGTAAAAATTTATAATAATTTCATCAAAGCCTACTTAAAGGATAAAATAGTCATTTTGACCCGTGGAGTCTGAAAGACCCTTAATCAAATCGTATAAGCTAGGCTTGAAGGAGAGGAAGGGTGACTTGGAGTCAGAATTTGACCAAAGTTTCCTTTTAAATAATTGGTAAGCGGATATTAAGGGAATAAGAACTTGGATCATTCTAATCCATCAAGAATCAAGAGATAATGAGAAGTAAAATTTTCGAGTTTTGATCTTGATTTTTTCTCAAATCTGGGAGATTTTGGAAGAGTTAGGGTTCTGAATTTTTAATAAGATCATCTTAACATGAAGTCAGAGTTTTGACGAGCTCCAAGAACAGTGAGTTTTCTTGCTTTGAGACTACTTTGGACGTGTTTATTTATCTCTAGAATTAATGAAATGGAATGAGAATAATTTTGATGGAAAGTTGGATTAAAACTCGTGACCGAATATGTTTGGAAAAACTTTATGGGTAGGCGATGGGGGAGACACACATCATATGATGGGACAACGAGGGCTGTGTGGGTGACACGTGTCACAAAATGAAAGGAGCAACGTGTTCAATGCCTATCAAAGACATGCATCGTAGATCTGATTTGCTCCGCTCAACTCAAACTACTACGCCAACCCAAACTTAATATCAGACCATAACCAACATAGATGCACCTATTTGTGTGCTCCACATGTCATGTGATGAGTAAGTATACTCAACTCAGGTCCACGACTTGTTAGTGAATTTTTTAAAAATTTAGAGCTCCTCATGTGCAAAGGGAAAAAAAACGTACTAGCATGTGAGTATATTTTTACTTCAGTGGTTAGAATATGCATGTTTAAGATCTTATAATGAGATTTTTTAATAAAAAGCAATATATGTTATAGAAAATTGTTGAAATGCCTTTAAGATGATAATTTATGATGCATGCTAACTTTAATGCCCGTGTTCAAGCAGAGGATGAAAAATTTTGGTCTATACTCCGGGTGACTGATAGATGTTATCTTCCATTAGACTTTTATGAATACATGATAAAGTATGTTTTTTTCCAAGTGATTGATTACGTATTCTCCCTGTAGATTGTGTTTATATGCACAGAGCTAAGACTAGGGCGCTAGAGTTAGACTAGTTAAATAATGATCTAGGTCAAGACATCTCCCATAAACTAAAAACCTTAAAATCTAGAGGAACGAACAAAGGGTCTAGACTCTAGTGTTTCCCGACTAAAAAAACTTAATGAGTCAAAACAGAATAACTTAGAGTTGAAAGTCCACATCAAACTACCTAACTAACTGTTCTAGGAATTCAGTTGATCTTGCTACAAATATATATATATATATATAAAAAGTTCAGCGAGGTCGCTTGTGACTCGCGAGAATTCTGGCGAGCGCTGAAATTCTCGAGCCTCACTTGAACTCACACCCTCGCGACCCCCACGGAACGCCAATTACCCCCACTACCCTAAGCCACGCTCCCAGAGTACCTGGAAGAGAGAAATACAGAGAGAAAACGAGAGAGAGAAGGAAGGATGTGTAAGTTTTCGGTGAGATTAAAACCCACAAACCCGATGCTAAAACTAAGGTATGTTTCACGCCTTAACAGTGTCTATTGGATCAAATCGGGTGAGGAAGACGACTCCATCGGATCTGGATCCGGGTCGGACCCACTTGCACTAAACCAACTTGCCGCGCCCCAACCCAGATCCAATTCCATCTTCTTGGCCCGTTAAGCCGCCCAGCCCAAATCTGTAGCAACTTAACCGCCCGAGACCCATACTACATGTTCGGCCCACCTGCAGTAACCTAACGCCCGAGGCCCTATACCCTTGTTAGGCCAGACTTGCAACAGCCACGACCAACGTGCCTCTGCTGTCCGTGCCTCGACCTGACTCAGCCTGCACACAAGTCTATTATGCTTTATGTTTATGATGCCTTCAATGATTATTTATGATGTATGACGTATGAAGTATGATGACGTGTATGAGTTATATGATGTGTTAAGGATATTTAGTAATAAATTATAGTTTACCATATATATTATATTTGATATTTTATTATAAGGCAAATATCTAACATTTGCCTTATTACTATAGTATCTTTCCATTTATTGTTATTTCCATTTATTACTATTTCCATATCCTTGTAATTTATTTGATTATAAATAAGATAACTTTCACACCATTTAGGTGTGGTGGATTAATCAAACATTCACATGGTATCAGAGCCATTTTGGTTTAGCAACCTAGATTCTTTCTTTTCAATGGCTTTTGAAATCTTGTACTGTTCTTCTCCACCACCACTGTTGGCTTTGACGCCGCAGGGGCAGTCGTCATGGCTGCCACATGCAGAGCCGATTGATTATTCTTCGGCTCCACCCTTTTGACCTCCAAATCATCCTTCGCCATACTCTGTACATACAACCTCACCTTTTCCAAACATAGCCTCTTTCATTTTCTTCCCAATTTCCCTTCAATCCTTCATCCTTCATCCTTCACAAAAACCCTAATCTTAGGATCTTCATCAGCATTCCTCTTCGAAAATATACAGAATCTCAATAAGCCCATCAACCTTTTATAGAGATTTACCTTTGGAATCTGGGTGCCGCACTGGCATCTTCGCCAACCAAGTTGCCGCCGCCCTTCTCGCCAAAATTGGCTCCTTCGCCCCAATGTGGCGACTCTTCCAGCTGCCCTTCTCGCCAAAATTGGCTCCTTCGCCCAATGTGGCGACTCTTTCGGCTTCAACATTGTCTTTGTCCCTTGCTCTAGGTTTCCCCTTCTACTTCTTGGGGTTAGACATATTCTCACCAGAGCCAAGTCAGCATCGTCGCTAAACGACAATCCCTCTTCATGGGTTAGACATATTCTCACCGAAGCCAAGGCAGCATCGTCGCTGAGCGGCGATCTCTCTGCAGTTTTCGATGGCCAAGAAAGTGTTTCTCTACGCCTCCTTTGAACCAGGTTGTTAACATTTTTGCGAAAAGTGTTTCTCAACCTCTTTGAATTTTTCAGATTCAAGCTTCACGTTCGTTTAAATCCGACGCTTAGCTTGCGGTGGGGTGTTAAGGATATTTAGTAATAAATTATAGTTTACCATATATATTATATTTGATATTTTATTATAAGGCAAATATCTAACATTTGCCTTATTACTATAGTATCTTTCCATTTATTGTTATTTCCATTTATTACTATTTCCATATCCTTGTAATTTATTTGATTATAAATAAGATAACTTTCACACCATTTAGGTGTGGTGGATTAATCAAACATTCACATGATGACATCTTATGATATTTTATGATGATTATGATGTATTTATGATGATGTTGAATGATGATGACGATGCATGTTAACATGACGACGTAAGATGATGTTATTTTCTTAATATGACGTTATTTTCCATATTAAGATAAGAATCCTATTATGAATGTCATATTGCATTATGAGGATAAGTTTCATATGGCACAACCCTAGTTAAGTTAATATTAATGATGATGAAAGAATGAAGACCAATGCTTATATATTACTTATACTAGTATAGGGATGGAATTAGGGTTGTCATAAAGATGTTTTTAGGACGAGAAACCAGAAGGACCTCATGCACTTCACTGTATACATAAATATCGGGCTACCTCCCATTTTACGATGATGAGTACGGACGCGTACGCTACGATGATAATAGTGATCATGACGTGCATGACACTTAGAGGTTAGTGAAGAATTAATTAGGGCTTCATGAAGAAGAAAGTAAAAAGAAATAAAGAAAAGGAAAGAAAAGGCAAAGGAGGAGAAAGGAAAAGGGTTTTTGAAAAAATAATTTTCGGACCTACTTCCATATGACTACTTAGGAGTCAATTTCTGATCGTGGTTCCTTCATGAAAATTACTCAAAATCACGAGGAGATCAAACGAATCATCTAAAGCCATCATGACAAACAAAATGCAGGTGAAAATGCATTTGGAAGGAGGACACATGTTGGGTGAAGGCAATGGAAACGCGACTAAAAGAGAAAAAGCTAAGGCATTTGCAAGAAAGATAAAAAAGGAGCGCGACAACTTTAACCCAAGATTAGGAGGATGAAGAGGCTAGTCCGAGTGTGTTGTGTAAAGGCAAGAGAGCGCCTACCCTCCCTAATGCGCGTGGGTCTCGTGTGTGGGTTGCGTGTGTGGATGGCCATCTATATGCGTTTGAGAGTGTGTGAGGTGAGATTTTTGCCCATTTCAA